ACGAGCCTTAATAGTGTCTCCATTACATGAGAGCATGTTACATTAAGAATGATTCTCAGTTAAATAAAAATATAATCAAATGTCATGTGATGAGAGACTAATTAATCATAAGTACGGGAGCAACTTGCTATTGAACATTTTCAACTATAATAGATGCCAATCAAAATCTGTGAGAAATGCAAATTACAACAGCTACAAATTATTGATCAATGTATCAACTTTGATAGTACTTGTTAGGAATGATGAGCCAAAAAAATAGCTAAAGTTGGATCAAATACATATTAGTAGTAAAATACATGCAACCTAAAATCTCGATCTATGGGAGATTGAATCACTTAATAGTTTTGTACAACTATTTTTATAACTATTTCAAGCATGACATATCCTATAGGTTCAAGTAGTATGCCTTAAGTAACCATCACAACTTCAAGAGACTATGCTAGATCAAACTGCTTCAATGGGGCAAGAGTGGATCACTAAACTCTCTCTTATAAGTATGAGATCTAATAGACTATATAAATTCTATATTTTTGAGATGTTTCCTCGCACTTATAAGCACTATTTAATATTAGTTAATTTGTTATGGAGTAATTAATTTTCTATAAGAGTTAATCCCCATATCCAATGATTAATAACATTTAAAATGAGTGTCTTGTGAACACTTGATGAAGAATATTCATTTCTTTTTCATGGTTTATTAGACAAGATTCTTAGTACGCTTTTAAGCTCAAAAGAGAGAATACTTATATATTCAAATGGATAAATAATTCATTGGGCTTGTATGTAAAAACGTAGTGATAAGGAGATAAATAGCATAATAATGGAATGACATCTCCATATTAGGAATCACGTTCTTAAATGCCTTTTCTTTGAAGAATGGCCACCATAATGGTCGGCGAAATAAATACCAAACCTACGTTGCAAGGATGCTAGGACAGTAAAAATTGGTAATATGGTTTTATATTTTGTTCTCATTTTATAAATATGTGACCTCAATCTATATGAATTTCAATCATATGCATGCATGCAATATTCTTGAGACATATGTTTAGATCTATATGTAAAGAAGTGCATATAAAGATATGTATGGTTGATATAATCTTCAACATTGATTTTTGGGGAATTAGATATTTTGCTATGGTTGTTTTGTTTGATTACCATGTTAAATTATTAATTATAGGATTTAATGCAAAATTATCTTCTGCCTATTAATATTTTTTAAATGAATGCTTGATTAACAGTATTCTACTTTAACATTTATTAGTAAATTATTAGATTTAGTTTTATGTTAAATTTAGATATGTTTTTACAATTTTAATATGCTATTGTCAATAGATAAAAGTACTGCATAATTTAATGAAGAAAGTATTTTTAAGGCCCAACTCTTAAACCTTCATGGTCATATATATATATATATATATATATATTGTTAGGTATGACTCATATACCAGGAATTTGGAGTCTCTTGAATTTGGAGAGGTATGTCTCCTGTAATGAAGATGCATGTCTATTGGTGTGAAGATGTGTCTTTTGGATTAGTGGGTTGAGGGGAGTGAGGGCGTGCTTGTAAATTTATCTGTGAATTTTATCTATAAATAGATGTGTAACCTTATGGATATGTAACTCCTCTAAAATAGTGAAATTCACCGCTCTGCTCCTGAGGATGTATGCATCTTTGTTGAACCTCGTTAAATCTATGTGTTCTTCTTCTGGATTTTCGTTGTTTCACCCTAAATTTCACAACACACACACACACACACACACACACACACACACATATATATATATATATATATAAAGAATGGTCGAGGCTATGATACGAGCTCCTAACCACCCTCATGTGTCTAACCACGCGATCTCACACTACAAGGTAGAAGCACTCAGGTGGGATCGAACTCGTGACCTCAGACGACTTAAGCAAGGTTGTACTACCAAAAAGTCACGGCTAGCGACACACACAAACAAAGTTTGATGCCATAAAGGCATTGAAATATTTAAATGATATTAAATTTCTTAAGGGGGATTACTTTGTGTCCTTAGTTTATTATAAATTTAATTCTCCTATGCCTTTAGCAATCGTTAACTTACACTTGTGCATGTCACCCATTATTATTTATTTACCATTTTCAACCACTCTTATTAGACGCCAAATGCATAATCTGGACTTTATAACACCACTTTCGATCCCTGGTTAAGCGTGTGCATGAGCGCACACTTACACACATATTAAAATATAATTTTCAAGGCTGCGTAATATTAGATGCCTATATTCCAAATAAATAAAAATTTTAATTTAGATAATTGATGAAGCATGAATTATTTTTATAACTCTACTTGATTATTTCTACTGAAGAGTAACGAGAAATATGTTCTGGAATGTTATAAGATTCTATCACAAACATAGACGTCTATTAGTCAAATACATTGATTTGAATGATCATATATACATACATATATATATATATATATATATATATATATATGTCTGTGTGTGTGCGCGAGCGTGCGCGCATAGACATACATACATACATACATAATTATAATAGTTTTTAATGCCAATTGAGCCACAAACAAATGAAAATATGGCTGAGACAACTACAAAAGAGCCTCTCAATATTGATTTTCAAGAGCCTCCAAACTAATAAGCACAATAATTTTATGATTCACTATGTGCAAGATAATAACCTTTACTCCTTAGAATGCAATCATCAATCTGAATTATCCTTCTAAATAAAGACGTGGAGCTTTAAGTAAGATGTAACAATACATTTGGAACATGTTATGGTAAGGTAGTCCAGTGGTATAGTCCAATGGTAGGCTCTAAAAGCTTCATCTACATATATATAATATATATACATATCTAGTAATTACTGCACCCATGTGAGTGGAGCGATTATTGCATCAGAGCATAAGACGTAAATTTGTGTCTGGAGTTCAGTGGACACTTGTCACTTGACAAGTGAGTCTCACTATAATACACTGGTTGATAGATTTTTGAGAAGGGTGGGGCCCACTTGCCATGTGGCACTCTCCCACATGACTCCAGACGCAAATTTTGCATCAGGAGTTCGGATGTAATAATTTTTCCTGTGAGTGAGGACGTGATAAGGAATTACTCCAGGAATTCATCTTTGGCTTTTTATCCCTGTATTTTTCTTTTCGCTTTACCCTTTTGCAAGTCTTTATGGTATCAGAGCTCTCAGTTCAAGAGTATTCAAGCCTCTACCTTTTCGTGTCATTATTCGTTTGATTCGTCCGGTTGAATCATATTCTTGGGGAAATGCCTACTTCCCATACATTCGAAAATCATCTCCTTTTCAACGGAGCCGAACCCCGTCACCTCTATCCCTCCCTCTCTTAAATTCTTGACGAGTAATATCAAACACCTCACCCAAGCCCGGCTATACCCTCGTGCAAACTTACCATAACATGTTTCAATTATGTTGTTAATATTATCACAAGAGTGTTTCAGATATTTTTCAGGCTTGAAAGGCGCCTATGATGTGCATGTGTCATCTTCTTTCTCTTGTGGGTGGAGTCCAATTTATAGATAAGTTGAGATAATACATCCATTATTGATGATATTATTTTCTATTTTTGTGCTTCGGAAAAAATTTTAATGACGTCTGTTGAAAGCTTCAATCATAAATGCATGCTAAATGAATTTTTATGTTAAATCATATCTCTTTCAGGGATTGAAGTAGACGTGTGAAGAAATCAGAAATGCAATGAGTGAAGCCATTAAAAGCTTCATTATTTGAAGAAAAATGTTAGGTATGACTCATATACCATACAAGGGACAGATGCTGAAACGAAATGAAGCGGAGCAGAAGAATCTGTCCAATCGAGAGAGTTTTGTTATGTGAGTTGGGGGAGCGGGAGCAACGCCCCGCGGTACGGTACAAATGTAATTTAAGAATTACATATTATACTCCAAGGCTTTCTCTAGGATTATATATATGTCTGTTTGTAACTCTAGGTTATTCAATCCCATATTTTGTAACCTTCTTTTTAGAGTTGAAAGAAAGCAGCCGCTCTGCTCTCGAGAACTTAAGCATCTTTGTCGAACCTCATTAAATCTCTGTGTGTTCTTCTGAATTTATGTCGATTCTTGTTTTTTTTTTTCGCCCTAAATTTCTCAACAAAATACAAACAAAAAAAACCTAAATGCTGGACGAGAAGATATCAATCTGTTCATGTAAGGTGAGCCAACTCTTGTCGGCCTTTAGAAAAAAAATTAAATGTTTTTATTAGTATTTTGAAAATATATATTTTATCTATAAGTTTCTATAAGAAAACCATTAAATATATAGTTATCAGTACTTATCATCAAGCATTAATCTACTCTTACTTTTATTAAGAAAATGAATCGAAAATAATATTTAATTACATTATTTATATA